AAAAAACAACTTTGTCTTAGAAAAAAAGAATGCAGCCAGGATGCTCCTTAGAAAAATGGAGGGCAAGATTTCATCTCCCATACTTTGGGAATGTTATCAGAAGGGGTTAGTCCAAACAGAAGGGCATCATGTCTTCCTCAAAAAATATCATTTTTTTCCCCTGAGGCTTCTGCCGTGAATGTTCTCCCAGACTGCAGCACGGTTTTCACAACTCAACTATCTACTGTATTATTAATGTTCTTCAACAAGAATATATTGTTGTCGGTGCTATCAAGTCTGCTACCACTCATATTGATCAAAAAATCTGAACCTTTTCCTGTTTTGTACCATCCTACCATCTCTACCATGTTTGAGCCAATTGTTACTATCATTGTGTCAATCCATCTTTTTCTTTGTTTTTATGGCAGTACGAGGCCTCAGGAATTGAAGGGATATCTAGTAACATGTTTGAGCTAACAGATATAACCCTAGAAACTCTCAACAGTCTATGCTAGGAAATTTGGAGAGCAAATGCCTGGCCAACTGATGGTAAGGGAAGACAGCCATATTTGTTCCCATTCCCAAGAAAAATGATCTAACAGAATGTGGAAATTATCAAACAATATTATTAATATCATATGCAAGCAAAATAAACTGAAGATGATTAAAAAGTGGCTAGGATAGTACATAGAGAACTGCCAGAAGTTCAGACTGGATTTAAAAGGCCTTAACACTAGGAATATCACCTGCTGATATCAGACGGACCTAGCTGAAGGCAAAGACTACCAGAAGAATGTCTACTTGTGCTTTACTGACTATGCAAAGGTATTTGAATGTGTGAATCATGACAAATTATAGTTAACATTGGTAAGAATGGGAATTCCAGAGCACATAACCATGCTGAAGGAAAACCTATATTTAGACAATGAGGCTGTTGGGGGAAAAGGGCAAGAGGATACTGTTGTACTGTACCGTCGAGTCGGAACAGACTCATAGCTGACCCTCCGGTAGGTTTTTAGAGGCAGTTAAAGACATGGGAGGAGATTGCCCATCCTGTGGAGTGGCTGGTGGCCACCAACACTGTGCCTTCAAGACTGCAACTCAGCTTCTTGCCACTAGGCCACCAGAGCTCAAGGGAACACTTGAATCATTTACTCAGTTTACATACTGAATAGGTATGAAGAGAGGATACAATCCTGACACATACTTTTCTTAATTTTAAACCAAGGGAACACTACATGTTCCCTTTCGACTGATAACTCAATTACAAAATGATCAAAAGATAGGGAAAGACTTTTCACACAGGAAGACATTCAGGTGGTCAAGAGACACATAAAGAAATGCTCACAATCACTGGCAATAAGAAAGATGCAAATCAAAACCACAATGAGATTGCATCTCACCCCAGTGGTAGTGGCAAAGTTCAATAAAGCACCAAGCAATAAAAGTTGGAGAGGACGTGGAGAGGTGGGAGCTTTCATACACTGTTGGTAGGATTGTAAAATGGTGCAATCACTCCAGAAGACAGTTTGACATTTCTTCAAAAAGTTGAACACAGAAACTCCATATGACCTAGTTATTTCATTACTAGGAATAAACCCCAAGAAAACTAGAAGTGCGACACAAATGGAGATTTGTACACTAATGTTCATAGCAGCATTATTCACCAACACAAAAACATGGAAACAACCCAAATGTCCAACCACAACCGAATGGATTTAGAAATTATGGTACATTGACATAATGAAATATTATGCTGCATTCAGGAGCAATTATTTCAAAAAATACTATGCTACTTGGAAGAGGCAGGAGAATATCATGCTGAGTGAAATAACAGACGAACTGCATAAGACCATTACTATAACAATGGATAACTGTTAGAACATGTATGGGAACTCAACGTGGGGAAGGCTGAGGAAGGGTAATGATGAAACCACAGGGTTACATAGTTTTGTGGGTGGACGGAATGAGAAGAAGTAAATGGAAAGGCCCAGAAGAGGGTGAAAAGACAGGGTAATGATGGGCAAGGTCCAATCACGATTAATTTTATAAAACGCATGCGTAAGAATGACTGTATGAAACAAAATGCGAGTGAAGAATTATGTGAAACACACTGTACATGAACTTTGTAAGCAAACCAATTTTAAAAAAAGAACATAGAAAAAAATAGAGATTCATCTTGAACTACAATGTTGTGAGTGACAGGATAATACTATCCACAAGCACTCAAGAAGTTTATTGAATATCACTATTATTCAAATATATATCAAAAACCAAAGCCAACGAAGAAAAAATAAAATATTTCTACCAACTTTTGCAGTCAGAAATTGATCAAATATGCAATCAAACTACATTAATATTAATGAATGATTGGAATGCAAAAGTTGAGAACAAGGATGAAGGATCCGTAGTCGGAAACATGAACTTGGTGACAGAAATGAGGCTGCAGACAGGATTTTGTACAATCAATGATTTATCCATTACAAATACCTTTTATAAGAAACATAGACTATATACATGGATTTCACCTGATGGTATGCATAGGCATCACATCAATTACATCTGTTGGAAAAAATCATTGGAGAAGCTAAAGATCAGCTGTGAAAACTAGGCCAGATGTTAATCGTGGAACAGACCCTCAACTACTCATGTGACAGGTCAAACTAAAGCTAAAGTAGGTTAAATTAAATCCACAGGAAGCAAAATTTGATCTTGAGCATATCCCACCTGAATTTCAAAACCATCTCAGGAAGAGGTTTGAGGCCCTGAACAACTAACGAAGACCAGATCAGCTGTGGGAGGATATCAAGAATATCATCCATGAGGGTGCAAAAGGTCATTACAAAGACAGAGAAGTAAGAAAAGACCAAGATGGTGGTCAGATGAGATGCTGAATATTGCATTAGAGTGCTGAGAAGCCAAAGCGAAGAAGTTTTAAGGAGCTGAACAGAAGATTTCAAAGGGCAGCATGGGAAGACAAAGCAAAGTATTACAATTAAATGTGCAAAGAGCTAGAGTCAGACAATCAAAAGGGCTAAACTAGTTCTGCATTTGTTAAACTGAAAGAACTAAAGAACAAATTCAAGCTTCAAGTTGCGATACTTAATGTTACAGGCAGAATATTAAATGATCTAGGAATCATTAAAAGAAGATGGAAGAAGTATATGGAGTCACTGTCCCAAAAAGAATTGAATGACACAGAAGAATTTCATGAAACAACATATGATCAGGAGTCAATGGTGATAAAGAAGGAAGTTCAAGCTGCTAAGAAGGAACTGGCAAAAAAAAAAAAGGGCCCTGGGAATTGACAACATGCCAACTGGCATATATCAACAAATAGAGTCTGTTCTGGACATGCTCACCAGGTTCTGTCAAAAAATCTGGAGGACAACTACCTGGCCAACTGACTGGAAGAGATCTATATTTATTCCTATCTCACCCCCACCTCCCCCCCCAAAAAAAAGTGATCGGACAGAGTTTAGAAATTATCATACAATATCACACACAAGCAAAATCTTGCTGAAGATTATTCAGAAATGTGCTCATGTGAAATCTATACTTGAACCAGGAAGAAGTTGTCAGAACAGAGCAAAGAATGGTTCAAAATTAGGAAAATTAGGAAAGGAGTGTGTCAGGGATGCATTCTGTCTTCATACCTTTTCAATCCATATGAGGAACATAATTTAGGAGGCGGGGCTTAATAAGGAAGAATGCGACATCAGGATTGGAGGAAGACTCATCCACAACATGTGTTAAGCAGATGGTACAACTTTCTTTGCAGAAACTGAGGAGGACCTAAAGTTTTGCTGCAGAAGGTTAAGGACTGTAGTCTTCAATATGGATTGAAGTTTAACATCAAGAAGATAAAAATTCTCACCACTGGGCCAATTGGCAGCACTATGATGGATGGAGAAGTGATTGAGGCTGTTAACAATTTCAGCTTGCTTGGTTCCATAATCAACATTCTTGGCACCAATAATCAAGAAACCAAAAGACAAATTGCACTGGCATGGTCTGCTGTTAGGGACCTCTCTAAAGAGCAATGATGTCAGTTTAGAGACTAAGGTGTGCCTGATCCAGGCCATGGTATTCAAAATTACTTGCTATGCATCAAAGAGCTGGACAATGAATAGGATGGGAGAAGAATTGATGCTTTTGAGTTGTGGTGTTGGAGAATTGTATTGAACATACCATGGACCAACAGCAGAACAAATAGGTCTGTCTTGGAAAGGGTGAAAACCAAGTTTTCCTTGGAAGCTCACATTATGAACTCCATCTCACATACTTGTTTTGGGCATGTGTGCAGGAAGGGCCAGTCCTTCAAAAAAGACTTCATTCTTCAAAGTGTGGAGGGACAGCGCAGAAGAGGAAGACCATGGATGAAAAGAAATGACGTAGTAACTGGGGCAAAGGAATTAGGTGTTCTCCAGTCAGTGAGACTGGCTCACTAGGCAGGGTTCAGAGCTACTGTACTTAGGGACACAGGCGACTTAATGGCAAAGAACAACAACCATAACTTTTCAATCAGGGATTGAAGCACTGGGCTCCAAATGATCCAAGAAGGAATCTCTATGGAGAGGTTTTGGGGAACTAACTTCTCTCCTGGCTGAAACAAATCATCAGAGAGAATGAATGGCTTTTAGAGAAAACAGAAACTAGGTTGTCACTTCAGTCATCTCCTTACCCAGTGGGCGTAGCATTTTGCCAACCTAGTCCACTCACCGGTTCATTAGAGTTCAGAGTCGGGAATAAGGGTCCCGGACTCGGGAGAGTCCTACAAATCGCTACTTCGCGTCTCCTTTTGAGACCATTGCTAGGGAAACGGGTCTGGACATCATCACTGCGCTCCTTGGTTGCTCCACCGCGCTCCTAGAGGTTCCGGGGGCGTGGCTATGTGAGGACGCACTTAGGGGGCGGGGCTTGGGGAAAGCCGTGAGCAAGGGGCGGGCTACGTTACAGAGCGCATGCGTACTATACTGCTGCCCAGGGTTCTTGGAAGTGTCACCCTGGCAGAGGAAGAACTGGGCTATGGCAGCCGCAAGGGTTCCTGCAGATGTAGCTCTGCGAGAATCTACCCAGCGAAAATTGAGGATGTTTTCAGAGCTAAGAGGTATCAAAGGTGTAACATGAAATTTCCTGGGCAGTGGAGAGGGAGGTTACTTATGCGCAGGAGATCTGCTGGACTTTCACTTCCTGCCCTGCCAACTGCGAGTCTGGGACGCTGGCACAGAAGTAGTGACTTGTTCTTACGTCTCAATGCACTTTCTTTATGTTATATTTGCTACTTCATTAACTTTATTCCTACGAATAAAGAGAATTAAATTTAGAAGCAGGAGAACTCAAACTCATTTCCAGAACCTTCTCATAGCCCACTCTTTTGGGTTTCTGAGGCTGTCAAGCACCTGGAATTGATCCTGGTGAACTCAGAAGGCTAGAGTGAGGTGCTTTCTTGGTGTTAGCAGTGTTACTCCTGTGGACTATGCCACCATGGCTGCCTAAGGAAGCAGGAAGCAAGGAGGAAAAAAAGTCTGTTAACTTGAGTAATTAGGTTATTTATTTGGTTAACATTTTACAAGCGTTATTTTCGTTGTCTCTGAGGCATGATGTCTTGACTCTTAAAAATTGATCTGTTTTTTTGCCTTTCCATCGATTTCCCCAGTTCTGTAATATAAACACTTACCAATGGAGGAAGGCAGAAGAATTACCAACATAAAAACGAAAGAAATTTGTTACCGAGTACTTTAAAAAAAAAAAAAGAAAAAAGCTATACTACATGCAATTCTCTGACAACTGCTTAATAAAAGTTGTTTATTTTGTTGATACAATGACCAATTAAAATATTGAAGTAATATTAGCCCTTTCGATATTTTAATTGGTCATTGCATCAACAAAATAAACAACTTTTATTTGCTATGAGTAATGTACAACTCAGCAGCACTTAACAACAACATAGAGATAGCCCTTGGCCTAGTGGACAGAAAGTGATGCTACCAAGCCAAAGGTGGGTGCTTTTAAGCTGCTGCCCTCAGGCCTGATTTTAATTATTTTTGGTCATTCTTCTAAGTGGTATAGTACTGCTCTGTCCATTTGCTGGACAGAGGTACCATGTGTTGGCTGTGATACTAAACACTGTGACATTGATGTGTCGAATACAATAATGGTTACCCATGGTGGACAGTGTTTGATGGAGATCCCCTATGAAAACAGGCTTGGAAGTAGGAGTGGCATCCACTTCCAAAATAGCTTACTTCCAGAAACTATGAACTTGAAGAAATGATGAGCGTTATACAAGTGTTCAGGTATTTTCGTTCATAGGGTTACTATAAGTCATCAAGGGCACTTATCAATAACAGTATTTGGAAGGCAGTAAACCGTTACTGGCTAACTGACAAGACTTTTGCTAAGTAATAACCCTTATTCATGTGGTGTATCAGTCAACAAGAGTAGTAAAATGTCTAGCAAAAGTACATGTGAATGAGTCCATTAGTATTTGTTTTTTGGTGTTTTTTTTTTTTGTGCAGTGCAACCTTTGTAGATCTGGTGGTACAGCTTTGTTGTGCCAGTAACCAAAGAGAGAGGGGTTTTTTGTGGTCTGAATCCACCAGTGACTGTGGGGGAAAAAATGGAGATTTAGGGAAAGATAAAAGTTTGCAGCTTTGAAATCTACTCAGAGGAATCAATTTGATGGCCTTGAGTTTGAGTTTTGCGGCCTTTTTAAACTTGCATAATGCAATGTATGATTAAAACGTTAGCAAAATTAAGTACCTATATTTATTAACAGTAACCTTGAAAAGTGGAACCTTGGGTTAAGGTTAATGAACAAATATAGGCTTGAACATGTGAAAATTTATTTCTAAAACTAGAAATTCATTTATCTGTTTCTTTTTAATCGTTGTTACAAGAATTGTGGGGAACAAGCAAATATGCCTTGGAGAGGTACTGCCAGAGTGCCCTTTGGAGGCAAGAATAATGGAGGCATGCTACTAGAAGGGGCTCTTCCTAAAAGAGAGACATGATGCTTGGAATGGTGGAGAGGTTAAAGGAGAGGAAGAACCTCAACTGTGTTGATTGACATGGTAACTGCCGTGATGGGCTCTTGTGTGCCAGGAAGTGTGAGGACTCCTAGGTCACTATGAGTCGTATTCAGCTCAACAGCACTTAAAACAACAGCTGCTGGCTTAGGAGTAAGGAGTTGTGCTGCCAACCCAAAGACATGTGGTTCATATTGACCAGCTGTTCACTGGAAGAAAATGGGCTGTCCTCCTCACATATGATTCACTGCTTCTGAAAGCCCACTGGAGGGTCAGCTGAGTCAGTTTCAACTCAAGTGTACATAACCACATCACCATAATAATTGACTCAAATGTACATAACAACACCACCATAATAATTGAGTAAGAATTGGTAAGTCAAAGGTACCCCCATTAATCAAGAAACAAAGGTAAAAAATAAATTGTGAAGGGTCAAGGACTGCAGCCTTCAGTATGGACTGAGGCTCAATGTCAAGAAGACAAAGGTTCTCACCACTGGACCAATTGGCAGCATCAGGATGGATGACGAAGAGATTGAGATTGTTCACAGCTTCAGTTTGCTCGGCTCCACAGTCAACACTCTTGGCACCAGCAGTCAGGAAATCAAAAAGCGTATCGCGATGGGAAAGTCTGCTGTTAGGGACCTCTCTAAAGAGCAATGATGTCAGTTTAGAGACTAAGGTGCGCCTGATACAGGCCATGGTATTTGCAATCGCTTGTTATGCATCAGAGAGTTGGACAATGACTAGGGAGGACAGAAGGAGAGTGGATGCTTTTGAGCTGTGGTGCTGGAGAAGGGTACTGAATGTACCCTGGACTGCCAGGAAAACAAACAGATTTATCTTGGAGAGGATTAAACCAAGCTACTCCTTGGAGGCAAGGATTCTGGGGCTTCGTCTGACATACTTTGGACATGTTGCCAGGAGGGACGGGTCCTTGGAGAGGGACATCATGCTTGGGAGGGTGGAGGGACAACGCAGGAGGGGAAGACCCTCTATGAGATGGATTGATTCGGTGACTGGGGTAATCGGGATGGGTGTGTCAGAGGCGGTGCGGTTGGCGCAGGATAGAGCAGGGTTTAGGGCTGTTGTGCATAGGGTCGCTATAAGTCAGAAGCGACTTGATGGCACATAACAACAACAACATAATCCCTTTGAAAACTATTTTAATCACTCTTAAACTTATTTGCTAGAAATTCATGCCTATCAGAGTAGAATTTAGTTCCATATGATCTTCAGTGTCTTTAATATTAAGAAAGGAGATTGACATTTCCCTCACTGACACTCATTATTGTGTGTATTCAAACTGAAGTAAACAATAGGGTCAAATCATTTTGGGAACACATTCAATTCTGAATATAATAACCCTTGTTTACTAGATGTGCTTCATAAGATTCTCAGGATTATAATCTTTTGGAAGGAGATCACCTGGCTGATCTTCTGAGATACCTTTTGGAGAACTCAGACTGCCCACTCTTTGTAGTAGTGCTTTGCTTGACCACTCAGGCAACCCAAAGATTCCTTAATCATACTTCTTTTGTTGGTACGTTCTATCAAGTCAAGTATGACTCATAGCAACCCTGTGAACAAAAGATCTGAACCCTTTTCTATTTTGTGCCTTCCTCTCACTTCCGGATACACAAGAGCCTATAATAGCAGTCACCATGTCAGTCTACCTTGTCAAGGTCTTCCTTGTTTTCCTCTCCTTTGCTGATCCTCCACCCTTTCCAGCATCTCATCCCTCTTCAAGGAATAGCTCCTCTTAGCAACATGCCCAAAGTGTGTGAAGTGAAGCTTTATCATTCTTGCCTCCAAAGAGCACTCTAGCTGTACCCTCTTCAAAACATACCTCTTTGTTCTTTTGGCAGTCCATAGTCCTATGGAAGAGTTCAGTGCTCTTCTCCAGCACCATAGCTCAAAGGCATCAGTTCTTTTTCTTTATTCATTATTCATTTATTCATCTTAATTCATTGTCCAGCTCTCAGATACATAACAAGAATACCAGAGAATATCTGTTTGTGCTTTATTGACTAAAGGCATCTATTGATAAAGGCATTTGACTGTGTGGATCGTAACAAATTGTGGATGACATTGGGAAGAATGGAGTCCCAGAGCACTTAATTATGCTCATGCAGAGCCTATATCTGGACTAAGAGGGTGTTGTGCAGAAAGAGCAGGGGGAGCAGTGCATGTTTTAAAATTTAGAATGTAATGTGTCAGGGTTGTGTTCTCTTTCCATACCTATTCAGTCTGTATGCTGAGCGAATTATTTGAGAAGCTAGACTGTAGCATTAAAATTGGAGGGAGACTCATCAGTAACCTGTGTGATGCAGATGACACAACTTTTCTTACAGAAAGTGAGGAGGATTTGAAGCACTTGTGACAAAAGATCAAGGAATGTAGCTTTTGGTATGGATTGCATCTCAATCACAAGAAAACAAAGGTTCTTAGCACTGGACCATCTGGCAATGTCATAATGGATGGAGAGGAGATTGAAGCTCAACAGTTTCATTTTACTTGGATCACAATTAATACGCTTGGTAATAGCAGTCAGGAAATAAGGAGATGCATTGCATTGGGAAAAGATGCAGCTAGGGGCCTCTCCAAATTAGTGAAGAGCAATGATATAATTTTGAAGACCAAGGTGTATCTATCTGTTTCAAGACAGAGCCTTTCTGATCACTTGCTATGCATCTGAGAGCTAGACAATGAATAATCATACTATTAATCATTACTAAATTCACAAAAGTAAATGATATAGCTATGAAGATAATACAAAATATTTCCTGTTTCTCCTCTTTCCCATACAGGCAATTTTTTAAAGATAATTATTTTATTAATTTTAATGAACATTTACAGAGATTTTGGATTTTCATTCATTCATTGTTGCACTTTTTTCTTTACCTCCCTTCCCCCCCAGTTCACTCCTCTCTTTGAAAAGCAAAAGATAAACTTCTTCATTGGTATACAATCCCCCTGACCCCGACCCTGCCCACCCCCTACCCCAAATGCACTCCCCTATGCAACCTTAATTCTGAATTCCTGTGATAATCATAGTATGCTATCATATATCACTTTTAAGCTGTTCTCTCTCTCATGTTTCAATTCAGTATACATAATCTATCCAATTTTTCTCAGTCTTACCCCAACCCTGATGTCAGTCACTTTCTACAACAGGGGCACCACACAGTGTTTGTCCTTTTGTGACTGAGATATTTTACTCAGCATAATGTCCTTAAGAGTCACCCACTGGCAATTTTTTTTAACACCTAGCATTAGATGCTAATTTATTCTGACTTGTAACGAACCTATGTACAAAAGAATGAAATCATGCCCAGTTCTGTACCATCTTAACAGTCTCTGATATGTTTAAGCACATTGTTCTAGTCACTGTGTCTTGTTAAGAGTCCTCCTTTCTCTTGCAGACCCTGTCCTTTTCCAAGGACTGGACCATCTTTACTTCATACCTAAAGAATGTGAGTAGATTTATGATAATATAGTATCTTTTTTTTTCCAATTAGGCAAAACTGTGACAGCTGGGGAATTCTGGGACATTGTTGCAATAACAGCAGCTGATGAAAAACAAGAACTTGCATATAAGCAACAGCTCTCAACAAAGCTAAAAAGAAAAGAGTTACCCCTTGGAGTTCAATATCATGTTTTTGTAGATACTGCTGGCGTCAAAGTTGGTATGCATTTTATGGTCAACTTTATAATAGATTTGGGGCAGAATGATTGTTGAAGAAAAGCCTTTCAGTGGCTTACAATTAATCATAAGGGGTGTATCCTTTTATATCCTTTGAATTTAAATTTAAATTGACTCTTTAGACTGAATTTCAAGAATGTTATTGAAAAGATAATTTATTAATTTTTGTGGTTTGGACCTTATGGCTCTTAAGGTCCCACTTCAATTTTTTTTAAGAAGTGTACACGAAGGGAGAAAATGCGGAAATATATAAACTTGGCCTTTTAGTACTATAATGTAGAGTACAATGTAATTAATGATTTAAATGTCATAGACTGTTTACTTAAAAACCTTCTTTAGGTAAACTTTGTAATTTGATCTTTCATTGCAAATAAAATTAATGATATTTTCACTGAGGAATATTTTCCATATATTTAAACCTGAAGCTCCTTGATCCAAGGGGTGTTAAATTTATCTTAGTTTTAATCTTACTATGGAACATTGTTTGAATTCTCATAGCTATAAGCTCAATACTTACCATTCCCATCATATAGATAAGAAACATACCTTTGAATAATTCATTGAAATTAAGTAGTCATAGATAGTTTTAAAGTCTTTCTGGGGAAATGAAATTTTGCAAAACTTTTTTAGAATAATTTCCAAATGAAATATATGCTTGTATCATATGGGAGAATTATTTAAATGGGTGTTTGTATTCTGTAACTCCATATACAAGCTTATGTTTGCAAATGGTTACAAATTTATCATTTTAAAATTCTGATTCTCAGGAGAACGTCAGCTTATCATTTATTACTTCAGAATGATTTTTGGTTTTAATTAATTAACTGTTGGTTTCTTTTCAATGAGATAAGTGTTTAATGTTCAATGGCGTCTTTGGCTTTATCTTTGTTGTCTTTCTTTCTACTTAAGGATAATCAAAAGGAACATACCTGAAGTTAGAAAGCCCAAATATAGTAATTTCCAGTTTTCAGTAAGGTACTATAATATAAATTGAGCTTTTAAACTTCATTTTTAAGGAAATGGTGGATCAACACTTTGTGCTCTTCGGTGCTTGGAAAAGCTGTATGGAGATAAATGGAAATCCTTTACCATCCTACTTATTCACTCTGGTAAAGTTATTCTTCACTAATTTACAATTTCTCTTTAGTATTTTACCGTTGATACCCTAGAGACTTTTCTTTTTTTCCTTTAGCCGTTTAAGTTATTCTGCTTTGAAAATAATTGTTATCCTGTTCTTGTTATATTTAAGTTGTAAGAACCGTACTGTTATTCACAAAGTTTAAATACCCTTTTTCAATTATAGATTAAATGCGTCATCAACTTTGTAATGTAAGTTGCTTTTCATATGTTACAAAAACTTATTGGGACTACTTCACAGTCATTCTTGTTGGAAAGAGGAGTATTTACCTCTTTGATGCAAACATTTGCCAAAACCTGCCTTCATTTATTTTCCCTATTACTCATAGTCCAAAGGCTATATTTCCTTAAAGACTTAAAAAGAAAAGATGTTGACAAACATAGATTGACAAGTAAATATGTACATGGAAAACATACACAGTAAAGGACATTTTAAAACAAAAGCATGGGAAAGCTTTAATATCAATTAATCTTTCAAATGAAATAAATTAACCAAATTTATTTGTATGAAAAACTGGTTTTATGAAAATCTTTTATTTTTTTCTATATACTAGGACCTCATGAAATTTTTTCACAGTCCAATTTAGTCCAGGGCAGCATGGCTTCCAGGGCATGTTCCAATTCTTACAATTTATATTTTTACAGAGTAATGCTGCTTTATAAAGATAATGTCAAAATAAGTTATTGAAATTTTTGGCTTAAGATTAAGTAAAGAGTAAGAAAAACAAATGTGTATAGCTGTTCTTCAGAAAAAATATTTCCATCAAATTAGCAGAATTTATATTGGATATAATAGAATATATATTGTTGCTATTGTTGTTATGTACCATCGAGTCAGAATTGACTCATGGCTGACCCTCTTATGTTTTCAGAGGCAAACTATGACATGAGCAGATTGCACATCATTCTGCCACAGAACAGCTGGTATATTTAACAGTGTGTGGACTGACAGCTCATCTCTTTACCACTAAGCTACCAGAGCTAGATAAAATATTTCTAGTGCTAAACTTTACCATCTACAGAGGTAACTTGTGGTTGCTGTGAAGCTAAATACTGAGGCACTGATGTTTCAAATGTGATAATGTTCACCATGGTTGACAGTGTTTGATGGAGCTCCCCAATTAAAACAAGCTTGGAAGCAGGGGTGGCATCCACTTCTGATACAGCTTGCCTCCAGAAATGCTATGAACCTGGAGAAAGGATGAAAATTTTCCAGGTGTTTAGGTCTTTCTTTCAAAGGGTCACTATGAGTTGCCTACAACTCTATGGCACTTAACAACAACAACAAACTTTACCATAGACTAGTTTTTCAAAACAGAAGCATAAGATATTATTATTGACTTTCCTTTATAAATATAATAATATTGCAACAGTAACTGCTACAGTGGGCTCTAATATGTCAGAAATAATGAGGATAGCACAGTGGACAGTGTTCAGATCTTTTGTTCCTAAGATCGTAATGAGTCATATTCAACTCGCTTGCACCGAACGGCAATCAAATAGAACATGCTTAGTTCCTTATTTATTCTACATTTATTGATCTGTCAACTGAGATTTAGTGGGCAAGGAACTTAATAAAATATAAATGGCTAAAACAGGGTAAACTATTTTGACTCATTTTTGTCTGATTCTTTTTACCATGTTAGTTTGCTTCTCATTATAAATTATTACATTAAATGATTTAAGACATTTAATGATTTAATGTATTTAAGAGAAACATTTTTTTAAAAAATTCACTGCTATTAGACTCAGTAAAAGGAAGGAGGGTTGTCTAAATTAGAAACAACCACAAGTTTAAAATGCCTCAACTGTGTTTATGTAGTAATTTGATGTAAAACTGTGTCTGGAAATTACTGTTTAATAGAGATATATATATTTTTTAATGATATGTCAGATTTTGTAACAACTTTCCTTTGAAATGGATCCTTAATGTAGATATTTAAATATAGTGGAACTTTGTTGTTGTTGTTGTTGTTGTTATGTGCCATCGAGTCGTTTCCGACTCATAGCGACCCTATGCACAACAGCCCCAAACCCTGCTCTATCCTGCGCCAGCTGCACCACCTCTGATACACCCATCCCGATTACCCCAGTCACCGAATCAATCCATCTCATAGAGGGTCTTCCCCTCCTGCGCTGTCCCTCCACCCTCCCAAGCATGATGTCCCTCTCCAAGGACACGTCCCTCCTGGCAACATGTCCAAAGTATGTCAGACGAAGCCCCAGAATCCTTGCCTCCAAGGAGTAGCTTGGTTTAATCCTCTCCAAGATGAATCTGTTTGTTTTCCTGGCAGTCCATGGTACATTCAGTACCCTTCTCCAGCACCACAGCTCAAAAGCATCCACTCTCCTTCTTCCTCCCTACTCATTGCCCAACTCTCTGATGCATAACAAACGATTAAAGCGTATCACGTTTGGAAAATCTGCTGTTAGGGACCTCTCAAAGGTCCTCAGGAGCAACAGTGTCTCTCTGGAGACTAAGGTGCGCCTGATACAGGCCATGGTATTTGCAGTCGCTTGTTATGCATCAGAGAGTTGGTAGTGGAACTTAATATTTAAAATTTGGATGTTGTTGTTGTTAAGTGCCGTCAAGTCGTAGATGACTCATAGCAACCCTATGAATGAAAGACATGAACACTTGTATAACTTTCATTGTTTCTCTATGCTCATAGAGTTTCTAGAGGCAGATCATATTTTAGTCCTTCCTCTTTTTTTTTAACAAGTTACATTTGATTTGAAGCATTTCAAAGGCTCTGTGTAACATATATTGTGTTTCCTAATCTAGAATCTCTCTCATTATTTCACATGATGGAAGAATAGTCTTTTGACTTTACAATCTGGAACTTATTATTTTCTCCTGAGATATATTATACATATTCTATCTTTATAGATATTTTAATCATATTTAATGTCCCTAGATTTTTAAAATTTTTATGAATGGTAATACATTTTTAAATAGTAATTTTGTTTGTTCCATTTTATAGGTGGCTACAGTCAACGCCTTCCTAATGCAAGTGCTCTGGGGAAAATTTTCACTGCTTTGCCTCTTGGTAGTCCCATTTATCAGATGTTAGAATTAAAACTAGCCATGTACATTGATTTTCCCTCACATATGAATCCTGGGGTTCTGGTTACCTGTGCAGATGATATTGAACTTTATAGTATTGAAGAATCTGAGTTCATTAGGTTTGACAAGTCTGGCTTTACTGCGTTAGCTCATCCTTCCAGTTTGACTGTAGGTACCACCCATGGAGTATTTGTCTTAGAACCTTCTAATGATTCAGAACATAAAGACCTTGAATTCAGGTCTTGCTATCGTTTTCTTCATAAACCCAGTGTAGAAATGATGTACCAATGTGATGCTGTGTTTAAAACCAAAAGTTTTTCTCAGCAGAATTCTGTTGGGGATAACCCTACTTCAGTTGAACTAAACACAGAGTATGTCTACACAGATAGCCTGTTTTACATGGATCATGAATCAGTGAAAAAGTTGCTTGCTTTTTATGAAAAAGAAGGCACAATAAACTGTGAAATAGATGCATATGGAGACTTTCTGCAGGCTTTGGGACCTGGAGCAACTGTGGAGTACACCAGAAACACAACAAATGTCACCAAGGAAGAGTCAGAGTTAGTAGATATGCGGCAGAGAATATTTAATCTTCTTAAAGGAACATCATTAAATGTCATTGTTCTTAATAACTCCAAATTTTATCACATTGGAACAACTGAAGAGTATTTGTTTCATTTGACATCTGATAGCAATTTGAAGTCAGAACTTGGCTTGCAATTTTTAGCTTCTAGCATCTTTCCAACCATGCCACAATGCTTTGGTAGATCACCCTGTGTCATTCAAAGTATATTGAAGCCAAGATGTTCTGTGTCACCTGGCTCAGTTGTGGAATATTCCAGATTGGGCTCCGATGTTTCAGTTGGGGAAAACTGCATAATCAGTGGTTGTTATATTATGACAAACATTGTCGTGCCTGCATATTCTTTTGTGTGCTCTTTAAGTTTAAAGATAAATGGACACATAAACTATTCAACTATGGCATTTGGAGTGCAAGACAACTTAAAAAAGAATGTTAAAACATTGTCACATATAAAATTACTTCAGTTCTTTGGAATGTCTTTCTTGTCATGCTTAGATATTTGGAATCTTAAAGTAACAGAGGATCTATTCTCTGGAAATGCGACATGTTTAAGTCTGTGGACAGCACGCATTTTCCCAGTCTGTTCTTCTCTGAGTGATTCTGTTCAAACATCCTTAACAATGTTGAATGCTATAATGAACAAATCAACATTCAACCTTAATGGCTATCATTTGTTATCCATTGAAGAAATGCTTAGTTACAAAGATGTAGAAGATATGATAGCTTACAGAGAGCAAATTTTTCTAGAAGTTAGTTTAAGTGAAAGACAGATTTAGAAACTTTTTAAGTTTTGTGTATGTTACCTTTTCTTGGTCAAGGTTTCAAATACAGGTGTTTTTGGTAAATATTTTTTTCATTAAAATGAACTCATTTGTTTTTATGTCATTTAGTTACATAACAGTAATAAAAATATATTGAAGCTTTTTTTATATAAGAAAATTTTAAAGGCATCCTTCCCCCTTTTCTTGGTGTTTATAACTCCTTTCATTTTTTTTTCATTTTCATAAGTATGGATTTGTAGAGCATTATTTATTTCATATCATCCCATCATTCATTGTCATTGCAATTTTGAAATCAATGTTAAATTGATTAATCGTATTTCCTTTAACAGAGTTATTTTTTATCTAGTCGATTGACTTTACTTTTAACTTCATATTTTTTTCCATACTCTGCAGATGGTATTATGGAGCAGTAGTTGGTTAAAAGTTAGACAGCAGAACAGAGGCAGAAGAATATAATATAAAATACTATGATGAACACCTACAGGAAAATGAAAATTGATTGAAAACACAATTTATTTGTTTATGTTTTGGTATTAATGCATATGTAAGTAGTTTTCATCTCAATGTTAATAATGAAATATTTGTTAATATTTTGTGTTTTAAATTAATATGGGTAAATGGAAGTAGAAACAAGTTGTTCTTATAGCAGTATAGAAATATTTATTAATTTTCAATATTAAAATAATTCTTTGTTATACTAGAAGTAATGTATCTGTGTCCTTTAATTATTTTTATTTCTGTTAAGACTGTTATTTTTTCCCCTCATTTTTCAGAATTTTACTTCAGGAAAAATTTTAAAATACGTGGTAATTATTTAACATTTATTGACCACCAATTTACATGCAGACTTTGAGAGTATGTCGTGTATTTATTGTTCATTCAATGTGCAGTGTGGATTGAAGTTCAACACCAAGAAAACAAAGATTCTCACCAGTGGGCTAATTGACTGAACCATTATACATGGAGAAGAAATTTATATTAACAATTTCAGCCTGCTTGGGTCAACAGTCAACACTACGGGTACCAGCAGACAGGAAATCCAAGGACATACTGCATTGGGAAAATCTGCTGTCAGGGACCTCCCCAGAGTACTAAAGAACAACATTTTCAATCAAGAGATTAAGGTGCGAATGATCTAAGCTATAGTCTTTAATTACTTGCTTTGCATCACAGAGCTTTGCACTGACTGGGGGTGACAAAAGAAGAGTTAGATTCCTTTGAATTCAGTGCTGGAGAAGAGCAGTGAACATAACATGGACTTCCAAGAAAACAACCAGGTTAATCCTAGAGAGGGTGAAACTAACTTGCTCCTTAGAGCAAGGATTTTGAAGCTCCATCTCACATACTTTAAGCCTGTTGCCAGGAGGGATTATCCTTGGAGGAAGATATCATGTTTGGAAGGGGGGAAGACAATGCATGGGAGAGAGAATCTGGATGAGATGAATTGACACAGTAACTGGGGTAATGGATGTAGGTGTATCAGCGGCAGTATGATTGCCTCAGCATAGTACAGGTTTCAGAGCTATTGCACATTGGGTTGCTTTGAGTTACAGTTGGCTTGACATCACATAACAACAACAACAACAACATGTATTTCAATTAATCTAAAATGCTGTTGTAAAAATAAGCAAGGACCACATGGGATTGGTTATATGTGACCTTTATCAGCATCATAAAGGTGATCTGTCCTCATCAACAACACAAAAATCCATTTCTGTGTGGTCAGACATGTCCCCTGCACACCCTGTACCACTTTATATTCATCCCAACACCAGTCTTACGTCTTTATTGGGTCCAAAATCCAATACATTATCTCACAGAACTATATTGGGTAAATCAGAAGTTTATAATCAGATTAGTAGCAGAATCCAGTCAATATTCCAAAATGTGCTGAGGGTGTCTCACCCTTGAGCCTTGTGGCATTAGGCGAGTGTTACAATGTTCTCCATCCTACCAACATTGCCTCCCCACTTCTAAGTCCTCCAACAAACTTGGGCAAAGGCTCTTAGCTCTGACCCAAATCGTATAGCAGACCTAAGGCCTACTCTGTTTCATGGCAGGTCTCTCATTCTCTGCTGGGGCTTCTGGGGCTATTGATACCATAGGCCCTAGTCTGGCTGGCTCAAGAGTCTGGTCCTGAAGGATGAGTTGCATTTTCTTGCTTGCTCTTTTCTTGTGGTGAAGTTTCTCTAGTTCTGCTGCTGGATCTGCTCACTTAAATGGTGAGCCTAGCCAGTCCCCTTGTGGATAGGCTTAACTCACCCTACTCATGTATTCCTCCCCATCCACATGGCAAAGTCAAATTCAGTAGCTGGGAGAGCTATTTTGAACAATAAACTCCACAGCCATCAAGCATATGACTCAAAAAGAGAAAACACTGTCAACAAAATATGACATGTTACTTTGTTTATATTTATTGAAGATCTGCATGTGTGCAGGTAAAGATTTTCATTTTGACATACACATACAAAGGAGAAAATAGTGAAATACTAAAATATGTTGGGAGTTTTTTAGGTGTCATTGATTCAGGTCCAATTCATTATGACATTTTGTACAACAGAACTCTTTTTGATCATGTGCCATCCTCCCAGATATTGCTATTCTTGAGCCATTTGTTGAACCTATTTTCAGTCCATCTTCTTCTTGTCCTTTTTTTCCCAAGACATTTCTGAAACCTAACACTCAGAATCAAATGCATTTGAATACTTAAAGAGTCATTTCCAATGGGGTTTCTCTTTGGGGTTTTTTTTGTTTGTTTTTTTTACACAATAATGTCTTCTGAGGACCAAAAAAGGATTGTTAAGGCTACATTTCCTAAGAGTAACCTATTAAACTACTGCCTGGATTTTCCTCAAAGCTATACATATTTGCTTTTTAAAATTTTTATTCCAATGGTTTTATCTTTAAGGAAACTGAGTTTCATCTAGGCAGTCCTCATTTTATTGACCTTCATTTTAGCATGCTTTATAGATAATGTATTTTTTTACAAACTGAAAATTTGTGAATACCCTCCAACTGAGTATTAGCATTATTTATTTCAGTAGCTTATGTTTGCTTTGCATCTCTATGACATTCGTGATACCATTGCACATTTAATAGAGTATAGCATAAGAATATCAGAAGAATCAATGCCTTTGAGCTATGGAGTTGGAGAAGGGGACTAAATATCCCATGGACTGCCAAAATAACAAACAGAAGTGGTTTGAAGAAAGTGCACCCAGAGTTCACTGTATAGGCAAGGATAATTTGAGCATGTTGTTAGAAGGAGCTATTCCTTGGAAAGAGACTTCATGAAAAAGGCAAAGAGTCAGTGAAAGAGTGATAGACCCTCTTCAAGACAGACTGGTAAAATGATTGAAGCAATGGGTCCAAGTATGTAAGAAATGCAAATGGTAAAGGGTAGGACAAGTTTTAGATTTGTTGTTCATACAATTGCTATGAGTTGTACACAACAGCACCTGACAACAACAATTTAATGCAAATATAACTTTTATGTGCCCTGGAAAATCAAAACATTCATGTCATTCACTTCATTGTCATGTTCTAACATAGCTTGGAAGAACCCAAGGTATGTGTATTGATTCCGTTTAGTCCCATATACCTAGAAGACAAGTGACTTGAATGTTGGCAAGAAGTTTCTGAAAGTTAATGTTCAGTGTTCTAGTCATATTGCTGCACACTGTGTGAATAAATGGTTACTTTGAAATGTTACCTGTTAAAAAGATTTGGCATTGTCTCTTTGGGTTGAACTGCTTCTATAATGTTGGTAGCACAATTCATGTAGCACCAACGCCACACTTAAGTGACAGCATGAGCAGATGTGAGCATGTTTACATATAAGAAGGCAATAAAAACTCTTTTTTCTTCCTGGTTATTATAAGACATTGTCTTTTTAGTGACAATAAAGTGTGTTGTTTACTGCCAAGTCAGAACCAACTGACCATCTGGCAGGTTTTCAAAGGCAGTTAATTGCCCATCCTTCTTCCGTGGAGCAGCTAGTGGACTAGAACAGTGTACCTTTGGGATTGCAGCTCAGCTTCTTACCACTAGGCCACCAGAGCTCCCTAATATAAGGTGTAGTAGGGGAAATAAAAGTGAGCAAGAGCAAATGATCCTAACCTGATGATATTACTGGCCTAGTTGATTCTGAGGGCAATGAGTTGATTGTGACTCAACGACACCCAACAACAACAATAATGTCTACTACTCATTGCCCTCAAGTCAGAACTGAGATCACCATAGATGATCATCCAGTGAGTTTTCAGAGGCTGTGAATCGTGCTATAGGAGTTTGTTCATCTTTCTCCTATAAAACAGCTGGTGGATTTAACTGGCAGAGAGATATCACCTTTAGGTTAGCAGCATAAAAAGTCCTGTTGTTGCCATCTGTACCATCAAGTCAGAACTGACCAATAGCTGACCCACCAGCATGTTTTCAGAGTCAGTTAATCACATGGAAGGAGACTGTCCATCCTTCTTCAAAGTAGCTGGTGGCCTTGAACTGCTGCCTTCAGGATTACAGTGTAGCTTCTAGCCACTAGGCAACCAGAGTCCTAGAATAATACATAAATAAAAGCAATGTTTCAACTCTATCTTAGAGTGTTGTTGTTATTGTTATGTGCCGTCTAGTCGCCTGCGACTCATAGCGACCCTATGTACAACAGCCCTAAACTCCGCTCTGTCCTGTGCCAATCACACTGTCTCTGACACTCCCATCCCAATTATCCCAGTCACTGAATCAATCCACCTCATAGAGGGCCGAGAGTGTAGTGTATGTAATTATAAAAAACAAAAATAAGTTGTTATCAAATAAGTTAGGACTCATTGACTGGTTTAAAACTGCCCACATACTTTCAATTCTATAAGTTTCTATAGAATACCACCTCATCTTCCCCCTATGGAGTGGCTGATGAGTTCTAGTTACCAGCCAAATGCTTTAACCACAACAGCAAGAATAAGGCTCCTATAGATAATTATGGGAAAGAGTCTTTCTTT